GTTTATTTTTTAGACTACAAGTTCCAGTACAGAAATAACTACAGAACAAATACATGCAGTTATATCACGTGTATTATGCATATCATGGAAAGAACCTACAGAGGGTTGTATATTCTTACCACAAATGGCAATATATGCATTATCAACAAAACTCATTGATGCCACAGAAATCATTAATCAAGCATTAATGGAAGTCTTATGCATGTTTATGAGAGATGAAGATCCTTTAAAAGAAATTAATATAGATACTTCTTCAGATAGAGAAGATAGTCCAAATAGTCAAGCAAGTCCGTTACAAAGCCCAGTTACAACATTTTGTCGTTGTGATATTTGTTGTAAATCATCACAACCTAAAAGTCTTATTTATTTATTAGACTGTTATTCAAGAGTTGCAATTGAAGAACGAAATCATCCAAAGGTATAATTTATATTAACATTTAATTATTAATATATTTGTGTCTTAACAGGTATGATATTTTTTTCTTTATAAATAGAAATCAAGTACACCACCATTATCTGATATTTTGGCTGTTCTAAGAGCACAATGTGTTCAATATTCCAGTCTTGTGTTACAAGGCCTAGTTGGTATTTCTCAGTCTTCAACTACATATCCGTTTTCCATGACACCACTTCTGTATCCTGTACTCTCGCAAAGTTTACCTCGTGGCTATTTACATGAACTTGTAACAAGAACACATACGAATTCAGCAATATTTAACAAAATTTTTACACCACTTTTGCAAGGCTTATATCTTTCAATGCAGCAAGCTAGTTTGATTAGAAATACACATCGAAGACCGATTGAAGCATTAGAAGAGTTAATAGAAATTTGCTGCGGACCGAGTAGTAACATACGACCAATATGTCGTTTAATTGTCCATCAAATTCAATTTTTACCTGATATTATGACGTCAGCTGCTGGTAAAGAAATTACAACAACATCTCTTTTGGGACCGTTTTTGTCAGTTTCTGTATTCGCCGAGGATCAACTGGATGTGGCTGAAAGATTCTTCAGTGGTAATCTATTCGTCGATAAATCAATAAGTTTAACATTGCAACAAGAATTAGAAAGTATCAGAACATCACTTCATAAGATATTTCATGCGATACTTGCGAGTAGTAACTGCCGTGAAGCTATGTTAACATATTTAGCGACATTATTACGTTACAATGAAAAACGTGCTCAAATACAAATGGAAGAATTTTCTCTTGCGGGAGATGGATTTATGTTGAATCTCTTGTCGGTACTACAAAAACTTTCTGTGAAAATCAAATTGGATACAGTAGATCTATTATATCCATTTCATCCAGCAAGTTTCGTTGAAATAAAAAACGATACAAGGCTGAAACTTACGTGCCAAGAAGTTGCTGATTGGTTGAAATATTTAGAGAGGACACACAAGTGGGTCGAGCCAAAGTTTCCAACACAATGTTGGTTCCTTACTCTACATTGTCACCATATAGCGTTGTTACCGGCTTTACAGAAATACCAGAGAAAGCTGAGGACTTTACGTGATGTGCAAAAAATGCTCGATGATCTACAAGCTACTGAACCACAATGGAAAGATAGTCCTTTTGCTAGCCGTAATAAAGAATTGATAGAACGATGCAAGGAGCAATTGAAACATCTCGGCAAATCGAAATTATACACAGATGCTGGATTAATCGATCCTGTTTTATTGAGAAGGTGCTTACACTTTTATATTTCTGTAGCAGAGATTCTGCTAAGTTTATTGACACAGACTTCACCAGGAAATCCTATTCCTGAACTGCCTTTGCCACAGGAGGTTCCACAAAAATTTACAGCATTACCAGAATGGTATGTCGAAGATATTGCAGAATTTGTATTATTTACTCTTCAGTAAGTACTGTTTTATTGTTACTTTTATTATTACATTATTATTACTAATGTATTATATTATTATTGTTTTCTATCTCTTATAGATTTTGTCCTAGTGTAATAGTAAATAATATGGATAATTCTCTCATTACATGGTTACTTGTAGTAGTATGTACTCCACATTGTATACGAAATCCATATTTAATAGCAAAAATTATTGAAGTACTATTTGTAATAAATCCTAATGTTCAGGTAAATATAAAAAAAATCAAATTTTATATTTTTTTAAATGTCTCATAATTCTTAATTTTAGGGACGAACTGAATCTCTTCATGATCAAGTAATGGCACATCCTATATCAAGAACATTATTAGCCTCATATTTGATGAAATTCTACACAGACGTTGAAACAACTGGTTCTAGTTCAGAATTTTATGATAAATTTTCCATTCGTTATCATATTAGTTTAATATTGAAATCTATGTGGGATAGTCCAGTACATAGAAAATCGATCATCGATGAAAGCAATAATGGGAATCAATTTGTAAAATTTATTAACATGTTAATGAATGATACCACATTTTTACTCGATGAAAGTTTAGAATCATTAAAACGTATTCACGAAATCCAAGAATTGATGTCCGATCTTAAAGCATGGTCTGCATTATCTCGTGAACAACAACATTCACGAATGAAACAATTAGCAGCAGATGAGAGACAAGCTAGGTCATATCTCACTTTGGCCAAAGAAACCGTTGCTATGTTTCAATATCTAACAGATGATATCACAGAACCATTTTTACGGCCAGAATTAGTCGGAAGATTATGTGCCATGTTAAATTTTAATTTACAACAATTATGTGGTCCTAAATGTAAAAATTTAAAAGTACGAATACCACAAAAATACGGTTGGGAACCAAGAGCTTTACTTAGT